AGTGCATTGGATCAGCGAATTACTCTATCCTTCTCTAGGCAAAGTTAATGTGAAATCTCTGCGAACCCCGTTCGGCTTACGCAGAAACCAGTTTGTTCGGCTTGTTTTTTCAGCCGGAACAGTGTTTTTCTAGTCTGCATAGCCTATTGGCCTGACAGCATGCAGTAGCAGGTTTGACTTATAAGTCGTACTTTTTAGCCAACGAACAGTATCTTGGGCAAGCATTGGGTTATGCTGGTAAGCTTACATGAAAATTCTTCTATTTTGTTTGACAGAGAAAGCAAGCATTTCTTAACTGTTGAGCTGACAACTTTGCTAATATCAGCTACTCTTTCCGTTTTCAAATTGTAACTAGTTTTAGCTTTGTTTTAAGTCACATGTCTAACTTTGACCAAACTTATAGAAAAAAATATTATAACATCTATAATATCAAATAAATATAGTATCAAAATATATTCCATGTTGTATGTAATGAATCTAGTTTGATGTTAGGTGATTTAGGAAAAAGCTAAAACGATTACAATTTGGATCGGAGGAAGTATTTACTATTCCTCTTGCCATCAACATGCTAATATCAGCACAAGATCATGGATAGACTGAGGGCTAAATGAGGTAACTACAAAGAACCACAGAAATATTATACAAGTTTTTTTTTTAATCGAAAACATATGTACATTATGGACCAGAATGGCTGCAACCAATGTTACCAGCATATAACAAGTTGAAATATAACTTCAATGTGATTACATCCCTAGGAAACCCCAAATAGCCAACAACTGTACACATGTCAACACATAATAGTGTCTGATGATAATCTCTCTATGGAACATCAGGTCAGCGGTTCCTTTGTGCAAACTTTATCCGTGATGGACTAACTAAAAAGACCTATTCCTGATTTACAACAGGTCAGCAGGCTCCGGAAGGTCTCTTGATAACTGCGGAGGGAAGAAAAGATGATCATATATAACCAGTTCCTGATTGCATGAAATGATAAGTACACAAATGATCGGTATGAAGGGCTAGAGCAATACCAATGATGGCCTTTCCTCATCGGATATGGTTGAAACTGTTGAAGATCCCAGTGTAGGAGGCCTTAGGCACAGCTTCAGGAGTTCCAAACATATTCCAGATCCGCAATGTCTCATCTGCTGCAGCAGATGCCACATTGCATCCATCAGGGCTCTGCAGAATTACCGCAAGGCAAGGGCAAGCGAGCCATAAGCAATGCATTCACGGAAATGTAATGTCAAGCAAGCCACAACACAAGGCAATCGAAAGCACAAAGCGTGAAGGAGCCAAGATTACCTGAGCCATGAACAGGACGCGTGATGTGTGGCCATTGAGTTCAGCCAACTTAATCATCGACGGGTACTTCCACAAGATGAGCTGATTCTGAGTGAATCCGTGCGAGCTCAGCAGCTCTCTCTCATTCTTGTTCCAGAGCAGCGCGCACACTTGCGATCCAGTGTCGACCGAATTGAGGCATGCACCAGTGTGGGTGTTCCAGAACTTTATGCATCGGTCACCTTCACCACCTCCAGAAGCCAGCAGGTTGCTTTGGAATGGACACCATGCCAATGCCTTGACGGCAGACAAGTGGCCCTGAAGCCTGTGCAACCATTGGGTATGCCCTGCAGTCTGTACAGAGGATGACATGGACACATCCCAGATGTGTAGGAGATTGTCATTTCCACCACTGGCCAGTTGCTGCCCTGATCCTGACCATCTGAGCCCACACACCTCCTGCTCATGCCCATGGTATGTCTGCACAACATTGTTCCTGATCCTGACATCATTGTTCACGATCTTGCCGTCCATGCCGCCAGTTGTCAGGATGCTGTTGTTCCATGCCAGAGAACCAACCCTTGACTCATGCACCCCTCGCAGTGTCCTCAGCTGCACAGAATCAATCACAATGGGCATCTTAAGCACAATTTACAATGAGCAACTTAAGCACAACCATTGATAAAAGAACATATTATCAGGAGACTACCAACCAGTCGGTTTGAGGTGGAGTCCCAAAGCTGGACATCAGAGGAATTGAGGCCTATGGCAATGTGCCGGCCATCAGGAGCCCAGCTAACGCTTGTGACAGGACCAGAGTCCTCATCAATGGTAACAAGCAAAGTCGCAGACTGACTGGAGACGTCCCAGAGATACACCTTGCAGCCCAGCGCGATGGACAGCACATTGCTGCTTCCCCAGTCTAGCAAGTTCAGGTAATAATCGTCAACGAGCTCTGGGGCATCCAGAACCTTCTCCGTCAACGAGCTCAATAGTTACAACGCACTTTCAGTCAGGAACATCATGGAACGTGCAAAGCCAAAGAGTAAGTGTAAATAGCTAGGCGTGCATACCTGGGGAACTTGTCGGCGCTGCTTCGCCGGCTTGGCTTGGGTCGCATCAGCACGGAGATCCGTGAGCATGCTTTCAGGCTCCGGCGGCTTGTTCCTGAAGGCAAGGATCCTTGTGCGGTTGTTGAGCAGCTTCTCCGCGAGCAGCTTCCGGTACGCCTCCTTGGCCGGGGAAACCCTAGCAGCTGGGTTCTCCTTGCCCTTCCTTGGCTCCGTCAGCAAGTAGTGCGCCAAGTCCATGTCCATCGCCAACCGCTCCGGGATGAACCTGTCGCCCTGCAAAACAAGGATCCATCAACCGTTGAGGCATTCCGTCCAACAGCCTGCGTGCTTGTGCCAAGAAAGAGGGGGGATTGGGGCCGAGAACTCACGTAGCACTTGGCCAACGGGCTGCGGAACCTGGTGCTGAGCGGTGGCATGTACGGCCTGGACCCCGCCTCCTGGAGCGCCGGCCGCCGCGCCGCCGCGCGCCGGCTGCGGCTCTTGTGCGACGAGATGGAGTTCGGTCCTGCGTCCATGGTTTAGAACTGGAGGAGCAAGAAACAGGTCACAACGCAGCCAAAAGGGATGTGCTACTTTATTTATCACGAACAAGAACGATGAGATTCGGTCGCGAGACGGCGCCCGCCCTCGTCGCCCCGATCGCCGGATTCGCTTGCGGCGGCGGAGTAGGACGATGAGATCGTGGAGCCGAGATGGAGGCGGGGGAGACGGGAAGGTTTTCTTTCGCAAGTCAGGTGGGATCCGTGCAAGGAGTGTACGGAAGGGGGCGGGGAGGAGGGTTTTGTTTGTAGCACCGCAGCCGCAGCGCAAGCCCGAACAGAGTGTTCAGCCATTGGGTGGCGATGGAGGCTCGCGTGTGGCCATATCGTATAGCAGGTAGTACAACAGTTACGCAAGCCGGTAAGTATTAGTATACTCAAACCGCCTGATCACAGTGATATGTCTCAGTCTCTCAGACGACCGTGATTACATGGAAATAGGTAATGTCGGTCGTCTGGACCGAACCAAGTCGCCCGCTCATTTTGCGCCTCACCCACGCTGCCACTGTGTCGTCTGCTCCTTAAGCGCGCTGCACGCCTCTGTTCTGGGACGGACCCCGCCCTCGACCACGCCGCCCCTGCTCACGCCGCGCGCCCCCCCTGCGCCCCACCGCCCTGCCCCGTGCCCCCGTCCGGACTCACACCTCTCGTCACTGTCGCGCTCTATCCACCTACCTCTGCCCCCCCGAGGTCCGTGCCGCTGACGAGCTCCACATGGTGACCTCTGCGCCACTTCACGTTATTGAGCTTTGCGCCGGCGTCGAGCTCCGCGTCGACGGCCTCCATTCGTCCAAGCAACAAGCAAATGCTATGCTGAAAAGCGCATGTTGCAATAGTATGTTTCAAGTGTTTCAGATGTTTCAGAGATACTCTATTCATTCTAAATTATAAGTCGATTTGATTTTTTTTGTTCATTCATTTTGTTATGCATCTAGATATAATAATATGTCTAGATACATAGCAAAATGGATGAATAAAAAAAATCAAAGCGACTTATAATTTAGAACGGAAGGAGTATGTTGCAAGTGTTGTATATCGATGTTGCAAAAGTATATCGGGATCTTGCACATGTTATAATGGCTATATATGTATGTTTCAAGTGTATGTTCCAAATATTTCATCTGTTCTAGATGAATGTTGCAAGTGTTTTATCTGCATGTTACAAAAATAAATCTGGATGTTGCATATACATGCATGTTGCAAACATATGTTTCAAGTGTTTTAAGTTGTTTCGTACATATGTTTGCGAGCGTTTCATCTGAATGTTGCATATGTTTGCAATGGTGTTTTAATGTTTTTTAGACGTTTTCGCAAGTGTTTCAGACGCTTGTTTCAAGTGTTTTATTTATCTTCTCTTGTATATTGTAACTATTGCATCTGGATATTTCAAAAAACAAATCGAGTGTTACACGTGGGATACACGTGGAAAGCGACCGACGGCACGGACAACATGCAGGGCAGCTCAGGGCCATTGCTGGTGCGCTCCGTCACGAGCCCGACGCGCTATGCGCTCGTTTACTCTCTCTGCCCGGCAGCATCAATACGCCAGCGCCCTACGCCAGCGCCCTTGAGGGACGCCCGGTCCGGGTCTGCATGGAAATTGTTGTTGAGCAGATTAATCATCGCTGGCGATGTGATATGTTTACACACTGTGTGACGCTGTAGTCTTGTTTCTCATTGAGTAACTGGGCTAAATATTAGGTCCGGTGCAGTCAAATAGCAGCCAGGACATAAAAAACACGTGTTTTTTTGACGGAATAAAAAAAACACGTGTTTTCAGGGCGTGGAATCTTTAGTTTCGTTGTCGACTGAATCAATTTATCGCACCCGAATCTAATCCATATCAAGAATGTTGCAAGAAAGTTCTCAATTCACGTATCACGAGTCTGATTCTGAACTCAGACACACACATAAGCACAAAAACACCTCGAAAAAGGATTGCGCTATCTAGGATGTTGGTAATTAGTAACAGTGGTCAGTTTCTCAAGTGAACACGAGGTGACAGCAGCGGCCAAAACATGGAATCTGCAATCCCGCCTGTTTACCCTGTGGTGCATTTCTTTCGCAGATTCAACCTCTCAGGATTAACACACGATCAGAAAGTTCAGAGTAAGCAACCGTTGAAGGCCTTTCGAAGTGCAGCTTCGTCCAAATTTCTGCCAATAAACACGAGTTTGTTGATTCTCTTCTCATCAGGTTCCCACGGCTTTGCTGGGCATCCTTCCAGCATAGAGTGCACGCCCTACAAGTTCCGAAGTAAAGCAATAAGAAAAGAGATCTTCTGTGCTAATAAAAAAACTAACGGCATCACCCAAAACAAAACTAAAATTAGGAGATGTATCTTTTCAAATTCATTCAGGTAGATGGAAAAAAATAGATCAGCTACCTGAAACACGAAGCGTCCAGTGGACTCATTTACAGATATAACACCTTTTAATCTGTACAGATCTTCCCCTTTCTCATCAACCAGTCTCTCCAGCCAATCATTAACCTTAAAAAGACAGTAATGAAGGGATGAATACCCAAGAGTAGTATATTTCAAGTGAATTCTTCACAACAATTTTGATTAAACCAAAACTTTACCTCATCAAGATCAAGTAATCCCTCTGAAACAATGCTCACACTAGTGACATCTGAATCATGGACATGATCATGATGGTGTCCTACATGCCAAAAGGGTAAACTAAAATTGTGACAGAAATTAACAAAAAATATGTCCACACGAACATCAGTGCAAAGCACTGGCAGTGAAACTTGGCTGCCACCTCAATTTGAAAGTAACTGTAACCATTTGTTCATCATAAGATTTGATCCGAGATACAAATCCAGAAGATTCAGAGAAAAGGACATCAAAGGGTGCACTTTACCATGTTCATCTCCATGGTGACAATGATCTGTCTCCCTGCTATCTTGCAACTGGACTTCCGCCTCAACCCTGTGCATGTTTTATCTCGACTATAGAAGCAATGTATGATATGCAACTCTCAGGCAACACCAAAGAAAAGAAACACTACTAACCTGTCAAGGTCATAGCCTCCAATTCCCAGCACAAAGTCCATGTCAACATCACCAAACTTCGCCGTTTTCATCTGTGCCATCCCATTTATGAACTGCAAGCGAATTTTGGTCTTCGTATTTATATAACACAACAAGCTTGCAATTTTTCTATCTAAAGGATTATACCAATCTACCTTGAGTTTGTTAGTCAATGCCTCCAATTCTGCATCATCAACCAAATCAACCTGTATTACAGAATTTATGGAACATTAGGGGGAAAGAAGACAAATTCCTGATAAGTTCTATTCTAGAACCAAAAAATGCAGATAGAAATGTAACTGGAGAACAATTAATAGTGAACTTTTAATACAATATACTACAGAAAATACCTTGTTCAACATAATTCGGTCTGCATAAGCAACTTGTTCTACTGCCTCATTTACAACCCACCTGGCTTTCACTTCATTCAAATGCTTCATGGCATGCTTGCAATCCACCATTGTAACCACACCATCAAGTTTCACATACTTAGAGACCAACTCATCTGAACAGAATGTCTCAATGACAGGACCAGGCTTCGCAAGACCTGGACTATGAAGTAGAATCTATCAGATAATGAAGAAATCATGGAATCATCTGTAGGGCCTGTTTCATTATTGAAAAGTTTTGGCATCTGCTACAAAGTACTGCAGGAAAAGACTTCATTCCAATAAGATTCACCTGTTGTTTCAATAACAATATGATCAAACTTGTCCCCCTTCTGCTTCACCAACTTCAGAAGCATCTTTACAAGATCTCCTCGGACAGTGCAACACAAGCAGCCGTTATTCACCATTACAATATCCTCAGTAACAGATGAGTGGCTAGCAACAAGCGAGCTATCAATATCCACCTCACCAAACTACACGGAAAGAAAATATGGCTGATTAACATGGGGGGCATTAGGTCTCACAGTGTTGAATTGAGCTAATTCATTGCAAATATTGGGTCCATAGCTAAAACATGCCGTAAATGGTTATCTTACATAGCTGAAGTGTACAATATCAAAATCATAAATTATTACCGATCGATATATGTCTATTGAAATTACCTCATTTTCAATAACAGCAATTCTCTTCCCATGCTGTGAGGTCAAAATGTGGTTCAGGAGAGTTGTCTGCAAAATTTAGATCTCAGTACAATAAGTCAACCTTACTAGACAATCATCGATGCTTTATAGGCTATAGCCTCATGTATGTGATTCAAAACGGCGACAAGCCAACAATATGTCTAATTCCACAGCAATAGCATTCGCTTTCACAAGTAAGAGCACTATGTGGCCACTTATATTTGGGATCAGATTGAGAAATGCAACAATCGCATCAGCCGCTGTCTGAGCTTAAGGGAACTTGCAGCAGCTACATACTACACTAGACTCCGGCACCAATCAGTAAGCACTGTGAGAGAAGGGAAGGGTAGGCGGCGGGCGAGGCGGCACCTTGCCGGAGCCGAGGAAGCCGGTGATGACGGTGGCGGGGATGCGGGTATCCAGCGCCTGCGCGTCGAAGGCGGCTTCTGAGAGGTTCCGCGAGAACAGGTCCGGCGGCCGCAGGAGCGGCGGCTCGAGCGTTCGGAAGCGACTGGAGAAGGAATCGAGGGGACCGCAGACTAGAGCGGTGGCCGTGGCCTTGGCCACCCTCGGAAGCAGCAGCCGCGCAGCGGCGGCCGTCATGTGGACGGGCTTGTGCTCGGAGTTCGGCGGCGGCCGAGGCGTCTTTCGTTTTTTCTTTTCTTTTTGGGGTGTTCGTGGGGTCTAGGCTTAGCAATTGGCAGAAGCCAGGTAGAGGCGTAGGAGCGGCTGAGGCAACGCATATGACCAAAAACCCTCGAGGCAAAAGGCATAACCGCAAGCAGTTCAACACAGTAAACAGTAGTAGTCAACTATGCACTAAACAGACTAGAACAAGCCGTGATAGTACAAGCAGTTCAAATGCTACTAGAGCTGAACAGGCCTAGAGGCTAAAAGCAACTCACTTCTTGCCACCATGCTTATTCCTTGATTTCTTCTTGCTCTTCTGATTCTGGGTTTTCTTTTTTGAAGTCGTGCAGGACACCGTTACTTCTTCCTTGGCGGGTTCCACTTCCACTGCGTTTCTTCCTCCCGTGTCAGGTTCATTATCTGAGCATCCACTCCATTCATCATCAATGTCCGTGGGGAACTGGGCAGCAGGTGCTTTGTCCTTCCTTCTGACAGAGTCTTTTCCCGAAGCCTTCTCATAGCACAGGAAACTGATGATCTTCTGCAATTTGTTCTCGCCATCATTCCACATCGAGTAAAGGTCCTCGACAATCAGACAAGCTTCCTTATCCCTGTAATGACAGGGCAGTTTGAATCCTCAGATGGGAGTAACCACTTTCAGACACAATGGAAATTACTAATTAATGCAAAATATGTAAATATGGAAATTATGGAAACCACTACTAATCTTTAAATAGGCAGGTAATCAGGTAATAAATATGAAAACGAATGAAATTACAAATCCTCAAATAGGCAGCCTAATTGCCTGTTGTCTGCTATAATAAAGATTGAATCGATGGTAATAACATACAGTTTCCAGATGCATTCATTATTGATTTTGCAGGGTACCGTTTTTACAAGAACACTTCATGCATCAAAAGGAGGATGTTGATAGTTAAAGATCACACTCAAATACCCTACAACTAATTAGAGTAGGTGCACTGAAATACCAGTACCATTTCATAAATGCTGAAACATACCTAGGATACTTCTCTTGAAATTGACTGCAGATGTGCCTGACCTCTTCGAATAATTGAGCATCTATATTTTCTGGAGGGTCTCGTAGCTCAAGCCAAGAAAGAAGACTTTCAAGGAATAGAATAATAACCCTTGCATCCTTCTACAAAAATTAGCATAAAAATTATAAGAACCTCACATTCACAAGGGATTGAGAAAAAAAGTAAAGCTACTCAGGCCCCGTTTAGTTCCAACCCAAAAACCAAAAATTTTCAAGATTCCCTGTCACATCGAATCTTGCGGCACATGCATGGAGTATTAAATGTAGATGAAAAAAAAAACTAATTGCACAGTTCATCGAGAAATCGCGAGACGAATCTTTTAAGCCTAAATAGTCCATAATTGGACAATTTTTACCAAATAACAACGAAAGTGCTACAGTAGCCAAAAGCCAAAAATTTTCGGAACTAAACGCGCCCTCAATGAACCTTACAACTAATCAACTCACCTGGCCATGCATGAAGACTTGAAACGACTCAAACTTCTCCCAAAAGGAAATACTCTCATCACTCAAATGCATCTGAATTCTACTATACATCTCATTATCTCGCATTGTTGCAATAGGCAAATTTCCAGAAGTAACATCCCAGGTTTTTGTATCTTTTTGCATGGGAGGTTTCTGTTCTGGACAAAGTAATGCCATTACTTTGTTAACATCACTTAAATCCGTGTTGCTAATTCTATCAGCATTCAAGCCTCGGCTGATTAGCGGGCCCTTGGGCAAACCAAGAACGACCATGGGATTTCCAATTGCCGCAAGTGCATCACCAAATACTCTTGTGAAGTGGGCAACTTTACCATTCCTTAAGTTCATGGTAGGTACAATCTTCTTAGAGAAATCGGGAGGTAAAACCTTAAAAATTTTGCACCCATTTAGGAAAGCTGTGACCTCATAGAATTTCCCCAATGGAAGAGTTAGAGTCACCAGATAAAGCATGATTACTAGTCTCAGTAGGAGTGGAACATATGGAATAGTTGGGGTTGTCTTCCGAACCCAGTCTTGAATAGTATGCTTGTTAGCCAAAATATCCATAATTGACTGGCATATGAATCGCCCTGATGAGAATGCCATATGGTCCAGTCCCATATCCTGGTCACCTGGACCAGAAACCAGGCAAGCACTTAGGTAAGCCTTGCTTGTACGGCACTTCAGCATCTTAACCAACAGAGATTTTGTGCAGAGCACACAACCATTATTAAGCCTATAACAGGACAATGCAAAGAAACCAAGGCATTCCATTAGGTTCACGTAGCATATTGGGGACATATAATCTGTCTCAATCCTCCAGTTTACATTGAAAGTAAATTCAAGAGCCAGTTTAAAGTTCTCGACCAATGAGCATCTTCCAGCACCACTATCAAGAAATCTCTTCAAAGATTGAAAAAAGTATGCCCACTTAGAGTCACGGTCCAGGTATTGTTCAAGTCTGGAATTCAGCATATCATGAAATTGTCCCGTGTAGAGCAGATACATGGTTATTCTTCCAAGATGCCCATGCGTCAAATTCTGATTCCCTACCATTTTATATGAGCCAAGAGAATCCACAATCAAACCATTTGCAGGAGGTGAGTCAAGTATATAGAAAAGGCTCTCTGCTGTTTCATCCCCCCAGGTCAGGAAAAGTAATTCAAAAAAGTTCTGTTCGCAGAGAATGAAGTAGTTTCTTAACTTTTTGGAAGATTTTGCCATACAGAACTCAGAGTCTTTTAGAAACTTTGCAATTTCATATATGATACTGGTAGTTCTCCACTTGGCATACGGAGATAATGCTTGCCTCCTATTAGCTTCAATAAAAGACTCCAACTTATGAAGGACACTAGATCCAACAGAAGAAAGCTCATTTACCAAAAAATTCCGAGCACATGAATGACACTGGACAATATCCAGCCAATACCTGTTTCCATTCTGCTCCAAAGAACATCTACCTGTGTTACTAAGCCAACTTGAGTCCATATTAAGTATCAGATAGCGGTTATCACCATCTTTTCTCAACCCAAAGAATTTTGCACAAAGATCTTCACACATAGCTGCGTTATCATTTGATTTTGGATCCTCAGATTGATCAAGATGAGCAAGCACTTTGACTAAAATTAATCTCCAGTGGTTCCAAACACAGGCTAGTGTTTCCAGGGACATCTGGTTACAAGACAGCATATCATGACAACATTGTATGTCTTCAGATCCTAGCTCTAACTCTAGATTGTATCCAGAGATTTGAGACTGAAGATGAACCTCAATAATGGAGCGAGCGGAAATTAGTTCAACTAATAAGTTTCCACATTTTCTGCCCTCAAGCAAGTTATAGGTCAATCTGGCAAGGGACTTATGTGAATCTGACAATGAGTCTGCTTCAAAGTAAGCAAAGCAGAAAAAGCCCTCAGATGCTTTCTTTGCCATCTCTTTCACTTTTGTAAGCAACTGTTCCTTTTCTGCAAAACTTTTTGGAGGCCATCCTCTACTGTGAGAAGACCACAAGGAATTTGCTGTGACATAGGCGAGGAGAAGTTGTGTAGCGTTCTCAAATGATTCTGCCTTCTCTAGCATGTTTACCTCCAATAAGACATTGCCTTTAAGCTTTGCTATACCTGCAGCTTCATAGAAATTACCCATTTCCATCTCTATACTCAGCAGTTCGTCCAAAAGATTCCTAGAATTTAAGAATGCACGAATGTGATCCATAGAGTTGAAAGCCTTGACATATGGCATCATGTGCTTTATGTCCCCACGTTCAAAATAATGCAAAGCACAAGTTTCTAGATATGTCTTTCTAAGGGCAGCAACCTCTGAGTTGAAATCCTCACTATGTTCCTTCTCCAACTGTCGCAGGAACTGCAGGCCCTGATTCAATACTTTCCCTTTTGAGCAGCAGGAGAAACACTTTGTATAACATCTAGCTTTGAAGTAGACTTCAGCTGCCTGTGACCAGCACTCGGTCATAGCAAAACAGTCTCCTGCATCTTCAAGTCTTTTAGTCCCACATTTCTCCATATAGACCATTCCTACATCAATGAAAGATAGTCATATTAGTGTCTCTAGAATGTTTACTCAGAAAGGATTGTGTGTGTTGTGGAAGGGAGGACATAAAACTATTCTGGAAAAAGAAACAACAAATTTGCAAAAGTTAGGGGAATTAGAAATCATGACAAGTCAATCACATCGAAAGGCATGAAACCTCGCTGACTGACTGACATAGAGATAAAAAATAACTTTAAAAAACATAGGGATCTACTTGTGTTGATCTTCAAGAGCAGCTTGCATTTATATTTTTTAATAATGGAACAATAGTTCTGACCTCTCCACAGTTTGATCCACGTAGCCTTGTTCCAGTAACACACTAGGTTCAGGCTAATGATGATTTATAAAATGAGGTTACTGTTATATAGAAAAATATGGAAAGTAATTAATAGCTATGAGACCCGATCATGTTGATGAACAACAAGAAAATTATGGATAGTGATCACACCTGCTCTTTTGTATTCACCTAGTTTGATGTAGCAAGTGGCAGCTTTCTCATACATGCCAATAGACTCATAAATCTCTGATGCTTTTTGCAAGGAGGCTTGGCCCATCTCCAAATTTGTGGAGATGACACGGTCAGCGGTTGCAAGAAGTCCAGCAGCTCTTGCCCACTTCTCTCTATGCGCATCACCAGCCTTTTCAAAGCACATTGTAGCCATCTCAAATTGTCCCTCATTAAATAACTAAATAAAAAAATGAACTTGTTACATGGACTTATAATTGTTAGAGAAGTGCAGTAACATCAAAACGTACATTCTTGAATCTAGAAAAATAGTGTCAAGATGTCAAACAAGTAACGTCACTAGCTAACCTTGGTACCCCGTAGCCTCCAATCATCAACACTGCTTCCTGTCTGCATTGCTTGAATCAGTGAAGAATCAAGTAGCCTAACCTCCAC